AGGTCTTCCAGGGAAGCAGATGCAACAATAGTCACTATTTTTCTATTTTTCTTTTGATTTCTGTGCACTTTTTAGATTTGTGCTTTCTATGTGTGGTTTTTTGTGTGATACTGTTTGTGATATGCATTGCTGTACTAATCCTGCAGCACAGAACTCTCTGCATGTTCACATGCAAATAAATCCTAGAGTCCAATAGGGATTGCTACCAAGCGTGCAGAGGATTGCAGCGCTGATTTCTAAAATGAGAGCTGCTACAGCTCAAACTTCCCTGAAAGACACATCCATTTGGTTGGAAGCCTTATCTCTACTCCAGGTTATCTGGGGCTTCTGTCTGAAGACCACTTCACGGATGGGATTTTTCTGATATAGAAATAATCTGCATCTACTGAAAAAAATGTGTAGACCCAAAGAATTCACAAGTATCTATTTTTCAGTTTTTGGAAGCTGCTTGCAACATGTCAAAACACGGCAAACTAAACAAGTAGTTTATACAATATGTATAAATGGGTGCCAGAGATTGTGTGGTTGTTACTACATTGAGATCTCTGCATAGAAAAAATGTCCTGTAACAACTTCCAGTAATCACTGTAAAAATGCTGCAGATTCAAAGGCAATTGCATCACATATTTCAAACCTGGCCTTGGCATTAAATAGCTATTATATTTACATATGGTCACTTCGGGAATTAATCATCTTCACCTATGACTGCATGGATCAGTGTACATTTCTTTTTGTGTCTTCTTCTGTCAGTATGCAAGAGTGGATTCGTGATAATGTTGCATGATGTGTATTCCATATTTTCATCTACCTATCATGGTTGGTATGTTCTTTATCTATGTGGTGAATATGTCCCAGGAATAATGTGTGTGTATACATCTGAATGTATGTGTATCACATTGTGTTTGTTTATTCTACGTAACATCTGAAGTTTATGCCTATCAATATGTGTATGCTTGTATCTCTCACTGTGAATGAACAGGTAATTATGCTGTCATTTTTAATGCAGTCACAGCTAACTATAGGGTCACACCTCCCACCTTGACCTTCCACAGATATCTGCCACTCCTTTGCCATTGCTTTACCATTCACTTCCTAATCTGCCTGCCCATTTTCTGTCACCAGTCAGACTTTGTACAAGTTAGTTCGTAATTTTACTGCAGTCCTAACCCCATCTGTTTTCTCTAACATGTTGCAATGGCATCCAACTTGGGCTGCTTTAACAGGGAAGTAGACAAATTCATGGAGGATTAGGCTATCAGTGGCTATCAGTCCCAATAATGGCATTCATAGTTCAGGTATCAGCCTCTGTATGCCTGTGAATGCAAACTTTGGGGGATCATGAGTGGGACAGTGAAGTTGCAGTAATGTCCTGCTTGTGGGATTAGCATAGGCACCTGATTGGCCACTGTGGGAATACACTTTTGGACAAGCTGGGACTTTAGTCTGATTCAGCAGAGCTCTTACGTTTTGAAGCCTCTTTGAAGTTCACCAACCCACATACCAAATTAACAGCAGGCATCTAATGAATTGGAATGGGAAGAGAACAAAGGTCCAGATTATTAACCAGATTATTCCAGATCCAAGGATAGAAGTGGCTTTGTATGCTTTTCCCACATAGCCAAGTTGCCCAAGCTATTCAGGAACCATACTGTGATTTGAGAGGCCTACATTTGTTGGATGTATTCTGTTGTTGGTTGATTGTACTACTTGTACACTGATTCAAGCAAGAGAAGTAGCAAATAGTGGTGGCATGAAGTAGAATAGATTAAAGAGGTGGCTGAAAATACATTTAATCAATGTTTGAAGAAAACTGAAGTCAAACTGTGCACCTGAGTACAGAAGACCTGGAGCTGCTGCTCCCCTTCCCTTGCTTTCATCCATCCCTATGTTTGGACTGCTTTGGTACTGGAGAATTTAGAGGCTAATGGCATTTTCACAAATGAGGCTCTGGATACCTTTCAATCGGATTCCTTCGAATGCATCATTTGTGAGCATTATTAAAGCAAAGCAGGAGAGAATCCTAGTGAGTGACATTAGCTCTCATGATGCACAATTTGCATTTCAGCCTTCCTGTCCTATTTGCCTGAATAGGTGATTGCTACTGATGGAGATAGAAAGCAGGAAAGGCCAGTTTTAAAACTGTGTGTCCATTCCAGTTTGTGAAGATGTGGGGAAAGGTGCATTAAGTGTCCTATGACCACTGGCAACCTGCATTCTAATCACATATAGGGATATTTTCACGCGTGAAGCTTAAATAAGTTTGCATTGAATCTAAAACTCAGACCTTGGTAAGAATGTGCATCCAGTTTCCTTTCTGCGTTCTAAACTTCTCACGCCACATTCACTTCCTATGACACAAATAATAGGAGATAGCTCCAAACTATATTTTAAGCGCCTCATCGAAACGTCTACATTCGTGCATTGGAATGAGGAGCGAAACGCGACCGAGAATCACTGGAGAACCGAAGGAGCAGCTCAGGTGCATCGAGGAAAGTTCTCCGCAAGGCAAGCGCATCGCTCGAGGCCACCCATCCGACGCCCGGCGCGGCGGCCACTGCGCGGGATCTCCGCAGCGCTGCCCAGCCCCGCCTGCCTGCCCCATGCGCGGCCTGCATGCCCTCGAGCAAAAGACGAAAAGCGTCCGATCCTTCCCGGGGCGCCCTGCGCTCCGCAGCGATCCTAAGGAAGGGATCTCTCCGGAGTCGAGGTGCCCTCGGCGAAGGGGGCGTGGGAAAGGCAAGCCGGCGCTTCTACGATCCCGCCAAGCGCTCGGCAGTCCGCTCCGTCCCGCCAGCCTCGAACGCTTCTTGGCGGGAAAGCCCGAAGGGCGGGACGAGGGCACGGGTCCAACCCCGGTCCCCTGGCGCCGAAGCAGTGCCGCAAGGCAGGGGAGGAGGGAAGGAGGCGCCGGCAGCAGCAGCAGCACAAGCAGCAGCAGCAGCAGCCCCGCGAGCAGCGCGCACACCTGCCCGAGCGAGAGAGCGGAGGCAGGCAGCCCCGCCCTTTCCGAGGCAGCTGGCCACGCCCCCTCTGCCCCGGCACGCGGGCCCCGCCCCTCGCGCACACGCCCGCGCTCTCTGCCCGCGCAGGTAAACTTTAGACTCCCACTCGCGGCGAGGGGGACGCAGGCCGATGTCACCGAGATCCTGAGCTATTTATAGACGCGCCAGGCAAACGTGGCGGGAGGGGGATCCTCCCCCGCCCCCGCCCCTCCCTCCCTCCCTCGCCACCAAGGGTCGGGCGCGGAGCCGGGCACGGGAGAAGAGCGCCGGAGGAGCCGCCCGCCTGCCCAACGCTCCCGGGGGACCGAGGAGGAGGAGGAGGAGGAAGGAGCCTCCGCTCCCCTCGGGGGCGCCAAGAGGTGCGGCAGCCTCCGCCGCGCGCCTCACGCCCGCGCGGTCCTTCGCCACCCGTCTCGCCCCAAGGCAGCCCGAGGGGGTGTGGTAGGCGCGGACCGAGCCAGGCCACCGGGCCCAGCGCCGTCCGTTGCTGCACGCTGCCGGCTTCGCCGTTGGCGGCAGCCGTGATTCCCCGCCTCTCCCCCCCCCCCGCCCGCCTCGGAATGCGAGCAGCCTCTCGCGGCTGCGGGGAACGTGGGCAGCGCGGGGAGGTCGGCGGGGGGCCGCGGGCAGGGAGCCCCTCTGGGGGGCGAGCCCGAGGGGCCTGGAAGTTCAGTCCTTTCCACCCCCGCTCCGAAGGTGGCCATAGAAAAAGCCCCTCTGAGCCGCTGGGGTGGGGTGGAAGGAGGCATAGGGGCCCGGGGAAGCGGGGGCCCAGGACCGGTCCGGAGGGGCAACCGAAGCGGAGGAGAGGGCAGCCCCCTCGGCTGGATGGCGACTCCAATGAACGCCCTGGCTGGCATTTCTCCTCGGGCAGCAACAGCAGCGCCTCGCCATCCACACCCACTCACGAGAGAGCCCGTCCTCCTTTGTCTTGCCACCATCTTACGGAAAACGAGCACGTCCAATTTCTCTCGTGCCTACACTGGGGGGATGTGTGTCGCGTAGGCACCGCCGAGCAGCCAGAGAGCCATTTTGCATCTAGCGAGGAGCAGTTCGCTCGCGAACGCGTGTGTGAAGTGGGTGGGTGGGGGAAGAGAAAGGAAGAGAGACAGGCTGCATGGCTCGATCAGAGAGGAGGGGTGGAAGAAGACGGAGACCTCGGGGATGAAAACCACCAGCCAGAAATGCAAACCCGAAGCAGCTTCAAATAAATAAATAAGACCATCCAAGCATGCAGTGGGTTTTTGCAGCCTGTCTCCTGGCGGGCTTGGACGTGGAGCAGCCCTCCTGCACCTGCCCACTCCCTGGGCAGCCTGCTCCTGCCCCTCTTGGGCAGCCCCTGGCGGCCAGTGGCCAGCAGCCCGTCCCGGGAGAAGCCGCCTCGCTGCATCAGGCCTCGCCCCGAGCTCCAGGGCCTGCTGCCGCTGCCACCGCTGCCTGCCACGCTCCAGCCAGACTGAATGCACCATCTTGCCAGCCCACTACCATGTTGCACACTTCGATTGGCCGCCGGGGGAGGGCGAGGAGGCGGCTGCCCCAGCGGCTCGCCAAGGCCAGGGGACTCGGCCATGCAGGGGGAGAGGCAAGTCCATCTTGATCCTGTCCTAGACACCTGCCTCCTGCCCCACCCCCCCACCCCCTTTGCAAGCGCCAGAGGAGCCGCGACACCGTCGTGACAGGCGGGAAGCTGCGGGGGGGGGGCGGCGGCTTGCCTCCTTTTGCTCCATCTCATCTGAGGAGCCAAGCGAAGGAGGAATCAACATGTCTGCACTGCTCCCCATCTTAAAATTGTACCTGCTCTCCGAACAGCATGGCTGGCTCTTTTGTGAGCTTGAGCTACTGCTGCTGGGCGGGTGGTTCGTGCCATTCGTACAAATGAGCCCCTAAACATGAGTTGCTACTTTTCCATGGCAGATTTTCTCTTCCCCACCCCCGCCACCCCCTCTTCACCTTTCCTGCAAAGAAAGAGAGAGGCGAAGTCCTTTTCCCCCCTCCTACCTTGGTTTGTAGAAGCAGAACCTCTAGGCGGACAGATTAAGGGAGTGAGCATGTTGGGAGTATCCAGTCTCCTCTTCTTGCTTGCATATCCACATAAGAAGAATGAGGTTTGGGGAGCAAATGGGGAGGGGGCGATGCAATATGTTTCTAATTGGAGGGGGAGAAAAATCTTTTTCTTGCAAGAAGGCTCGGCTTTGGCAATCTTTGTGTCTTGAAGCGGTGCAAATGTAAAACGAGGTTGAGAGAGGGAGGGAGAGAGAGAGATCGGCTTCGAAGATGAATCAGACCGTGTGGAGAGGAGGGTCATAAAATGCAGGATCCATAGAGATCATTAAAAAAAAAAACCAAATCGTGATGGTTCTTCTAAGGATGCAGATAATACAATAGAAATATATAAATATATATTCCTGTGAGCCCTAGTAGAAGGGGCTGGCTCTGGCTGTCGCGGATGTCGGTGCTGGTCCTCTGAGAAGCATGATTATTCCCCAGGCGTCCCCTCCTGAAAAGGAAAAAAGGGGGAGAGGGTCGGTAGTGAGCTGGCTGCGAGAAAGACCGAATCGCTCCCGTAGCGAGGCACTAGCACGTTTCCAAGAATGGCAAGGAAAACGCATTTCCCCACATCAGCCCCCACTAAAGGAATGGCCAACAGCTGGCACGGCTCTATAAATATTTCAGAGATGCTCTAGCTGTGCCGTTGCTGGGACGGGCACCGAGGCGAACTGGAGAAACGGGCGAGCGAGAAACCACCGAGAGAAGGAACCCCGTAACGCGCGCACACACACACACGTACACACGAGCGCGTGCGCACGACAGCCAGCCCCCCACTCGCGAGGAGCATTTCGCTGGCGAGCAAGTGCCGTTCCCAACCCCATCTGCATTGCTGCTGACATGTCGGCGGTCGCTTCCCCACCCCCACCCCTCCTCCTCAACCCACCGCCACCCCCAACCCCCGGGAATGAATGAAGGAATGAATGAATGGGAGGCGGGCGGGCGGGGGTCTCCGGGCTGAGCAGCGAGGCTGCATTTGGCTGTTGTGGAAAGGTGGCGGGGAGATGCACACGCGCCGCTGGCGGGCACGCGGGGCTGCTGCCCATCGCCCATCACCTGCAACGTGTGTCCACGGGAGCAATGGCAGCAGCCCCTTCCCCGCCGTCCATCGGTTACCTGTTAGCTAGGCGTTGTTGCATGCAGGGGAGGCGGATCGAGACCCGGGCTGTTTAGGGCACGGTCTTCCCAATCCCAGCTGAAAAAGCAACGAGCCCGCCAACGAGCCATCGTGTGCTAGAGGAGAAGAGCCCATTACGTACCGGCAAGAGCCTCTTCCCACGAGCAACAACTGGCAAGTCCACTGGGGAGCTGCCTGGGCTGGGGTGGGTGTGTGGTTTTCTTTTTCCTTCCCCCCACTCACTCCCTCTCTCTCTCTCTCTCCTCCTTTTGGGGAGGGGGGCAGAGGGCCAGTGCAGATGGACCACGCTCGGGTCCGCGCAGCTCACACGCGGGGTCTTCTCGGAACGGGCGAGCGATCGCTGCTCAGCGCAATCCGGAAGAGATGCCCGCGCGCATCGTCCTCCTCTGCAATCATAAATAACAGGAAAAATTAATCCCACGGAATTCCTCGGAGGTGTTGCTGGTGGTGAAAGGAAAGGAAGGTGAAAACCATGGCGAGAGAGAGAGAGAGAGAGAGAGAGAGGAGGAGGAGGGTGGGAGGAACCAAGGAGCCACGTCTCACGTAAGGTGGACCCTCTGGGGCGCAAGGCAAAACGCTCCTGGGGACCCAAGTCGGGGCGGTGGGCCGGGGAGGGTCACTCTCCCAGGCGCCCGCCTACGAAGTCTCCAGCATTCACACGCATCCACGCAATGAATCTGGTTCTGTACAAGTGTGTGTGCGCGTGTGTGCGCGCGCGCCCGCGTTCAGCCTCGAAATGGAGGCGGAGGAGGCATTTCTTCTTCTGGGCCTGGCTTCCTCGCCTCGCTTGCTGAGCCACTGGCTGAGACAGCTGCCAACGTCACGTAGCCCGAGGGCAGAAGCGCCTGCTTCGCCCAGCCTCTCAGCGCCTCCTACTGGCGACAGCGGAGAACCGCGAGCGGCGACCGCGAGCGGGATTGGGGGGCAATCGGTGACCCCGGCCAGGCTGGGCCTCCGCTCGCCATCCCGGAGAAAACTCCCCTTCTCGAGAGCTTCTCAGGATGTTGGCGAGGAAAGAGCCTCACTGAGGTTTTCCTTCTTGCCTTCCTTCCCCGCGGGGCTTGCTGCTGGTGGAGCTTCCCTAGCTCCGGTCCCGAGATCGGGGAAGAAAGGCAGGCGGTGGGGAGGCCAGCAGGAGACCCACGCGGCTATTCTGCAATTAAGGCCGGCACATTCATGGCCACCCTCAAATTTAAGTAGCCAAGCGGTGGGAAGAAAGCTGAAAAGACGAGTCAGGCCCCTTCCCCACACGCAGGTTCCGCTCTCCCCAAATGAAACAGAGCATTTAGGCAAAAGAGCTCTGGATCTGAGCATCCTCACACCTGTGGAAACCTTCTTCCCACACCTCTGGATTGTATTATTACTATTATTTATTAACTTTGTATACCACCCTTCATCTGCAGGTCTCAAGGCGGTTCACGAAATAAAACAAGATAAAAACAAGAAATCGATGTAGACCATATTAGTTAAACAAAAGTAACTGCCATCCCTTCATAGTCTGTAGGGCTGCACACTCAAAATCCTTGACTATATAGGAATTCCACCTTCATCCATAATATGCACTCAAAAGGTGCAGAAAGTTCACCTGCCTACTAGTCTCTAATCTGCATAACTGGTTGCCTGTGACTATGGGATGGGTTCACACAGGCCCCTGGCATTTCCAGTACACACAAACACACACACCTCAGTGCTACACACTCTTCTCAGTAGATTTAGACACACTGAGCTCTCCAGGATTGAGCCCCCCAAGATCGCAAGTGCTTCCCCCACATATAGAACATGTTTTGTGACCCCAGGTCTACACACGGGTATCATCCATATGCTCACCTTCTTTCTTTCTTTCTTTCTTTCTTTCTTTCTTTCTTTCTTTCTTTCTTTCTTTCTTTCTTTTTGTACCACCCCTCATCCAAAGATCAAAGGGCAGTTAACAACATAAAAATACAAAATGTTAACACAAAATACATAACAAAACGAGAACAACCCAATAAACCCCACTCCCACAAACACATTTAAAAGGCCGTAGAATGTTTAATCTGCCAAAGTTCTGGTGACAGAGAAACCTTTTCACTTGGTGCCTGTTCCACCATGTCACATGTTACACCAGTGCAATCACACGTGTCAGGCACTTCGCATTTGCGTGCGCATGAAGTCAGAGACCAAAAGCCATCAGTTATGAAGGAGGGGTGGGTGGCCAAAAGGGTCAACTTCCAATTGGAGAGGATCTTGAATGGTTCACTCAGTTTGCAAGTTAATAGAAAGCACCAGACCAGGACTCCCCATGAGTTAGGCAAGGCAACAAAGCAGCACCTTCCTTGTCCTAGGAGACAAAAGCCTTTTTAAGAGGGCAAGGGGTTTAGGCTTGATTCTGGTTTTGCTCATTTCAGTTTTCAAGATCTCTGTTATGGTAATATTTTTTCTTCCAGAAACTAAGAAGGTGATGGGACATTTCCAAGGAATTCTGCTACAAGGAACAGACAGACACCAGGAGTGGCAACTCAGCCCCACGACTGTGGGTGTCTGGGGCCGTGGGTGCCATGCAGGGTGCCCTGGCACTGAAATTTGTGGGTGCCCAGCCCCTTCATGGGGAATTTTTTCTCAAATTTTTTAAATTGATTTTCCAAAAATTTTAAAACAAACAAACAAACAAACAAACAAACATAAATCTTATCTATACTTAATCCAATCTTCATAACATTATTAGGTAACTTCCTCTAATTCCCCTGGCTGAATTTCTGTGTATATCATTGTAACAGTTTTCCAAAACTAAATTTCTCATAAAATTAACTTAATCAGTTAACATCATTCTTTCTTTTCATTTTGACTTTAAACATTTTATTCTCTAACATCACGTATTTAAATCCTAAGCCTATCTAGTATTTGCAAGTATTCCCAGTTAAGTTATCTTAGCATATTTAACTAACTAGTCTTTAAATTTCATCCATTCCTTCTGGTACTCCTTCTCCTTCTGACTCTTCCAGTCAGGTCGGCTAGCTCCGAAAAGTCCATCATCTTCATCTGCCATTCCTCCACTGTTGGGACTTCTTGTGTTTTCCAGTTCTTAGCTAACAAAATTCTAGCTGCAGCTGTGGCATACAAAAACAATCTTACATCTTTCTTGGGCAATTCCAAGTCTATTAGTCCAAGAAGAAAGGCCTCTGGTTTCTTAATAAATGTATATTTCAACATTTTTTTCAATTCATTATAAATCTTCTCCCAGAAGTCTTTCACCTTGGGGCAGGTCTACCACATACATTTCCAGCATAGATCATCACTATTATGATATATCTTTGCTAATTTTACAGGAGTTAAGTACCATCTACAGTGGTACCTTGGGTTACATACGATTCAGGTTACGTATGCTTCAGGTTACATACGCTTCAGGTTACAGACTCCGCTAACCCAGAAATAGTACCTCGGGTTAAGAACTTTGCTTCAGGATGAGAACAGAAATCGTGCAGCGGCAGCGCGGCAGCAGCGGGAGGCCCCATTAGCTAAAGTAGTGCTTCAGGTTAAGAACAGTTTCAGGTTAAGAACGGACCTCCAGAACGAATGAAGTACGTAACCAGAGGTACCACTGTATACATCATTTTCATAATATTTTCCTTTAAAACCATACATGCAGTGAACTTGACCTCTTTCCTCCACAACCTTTCCCAATCTTCAAACGTTATGTTATGACCCACATCTCTTGCCCAATCTATCGTCACAGATTTAACTTGTTCGTCCTTTGTATGCCACTCCAACAATAAATTATACATTTTAGACAAGTTTTTAACTTTAGTGTCCAACAATTCCGTTTCCAGCTTAGTTTTTTCCTTCATGGGGAATTTTGTGGGTGCTCGGGCACCCAGAGCCCCAGGGAATTGGCACCTATGACAGATATTGACTCAGGATGTAGCCTAAAATGTGGAACATGCTTCAGGGGTAGTTCTTTGTGTTTTAAACAAATAATTAAATAACCTTCAGACACTATTTTCAAAAGCAGATTGTCAGCAGGGTCAATTGACACAGCAGACACTGTTGTCACTTGGTCATCACACATCCCTCTAGAAAGCATCTGTAACATGTGAAGAGGAGGCCCCATCACTGTAAACAAGATGGAGACATTAAGCAGAAAGCTAGAAGTAATCATAGCTCCCATTGTGTCCCACTTTACTTACAGACATGCAGCTCTCCTTCAAACATTATGATGTTCACTGAAAGACGCATAAGTGGAATGGGCTGGCAAACCCATGACAAGAGGTATGAGACAGGCCCAATGGGCAAAGCGGCGAGGAAGCACTCTTTAACAGGCTAGTGGTGGGGCTGCAACTCCTACTTTTAAAGCCTGGGCTTTTGCCATAACAAGGAAGAAGCTGCTGGGGTAGAAGAACTCTTAATTACAATGCGTTGGGGTGCGGGTTGTTGTTTTTTGACTACATACTACATCCCTGCAGTACCATGGCAGAACAGGCTTACAATATATGTGTACAGCAGTTTAGGGCATTATTTTAAAACAAAGCTCTTTTGCGCTGTGTGCAGTGACATGTCTTAATTTACACCTGCGATCACCGCAATGGCATATTTATTAGGCAGCAAGGTCTGTAATTATTGACTGTCGCCACTGCTCCACACCTGGAGCTCCTGTCTTCTGAGTGCCACACTGAACCACAGCTACGCTTTTGCTTTCTCAAGGAGGGTAAAGCAATCTGGACTTCTTTTTTCCAACATTTCCATTGCCTATATATATATTTATTGTATGGTTATTTATTTCTTTATTTTCATGTGTTCAAAAGTATGAGGTGCACATTGTGATCCTTATTGCATGCTGTTGGCCCTACATAACTGTCTGATTACCTAACTTGAGTCAGTACATAAAGATTTTGATTTTCATAACTGCTTTAAGTTTATTTATGAGTGTGTGTGTGTGAGAGAGAGAGAGACAGAGAGAGAGCTATTATATAAAATAAATTGCAGAAAGACATTTTGATTGTTACCTTTCTAAAGGCAGGAACCATTATAGCTATGCAAGGGGTTTGAATTCATATCAGAAGGACCAATGTGTATGTAAGTATAATAGGAAAATGGTTAAAGGAAATTATGTGGGTTATGGCACTGGGGTGGTGGTGTTATTAAATAAATTAACAACTAACTGCTCCACTGCCACAATTATGAAAGTAGACCACTGAGTTAGTGCTATTAGCATGAGTAAGGCTTGCGGGCTTTGACCACAGGAAAATTTAGGATGAAAAGGAAAATGAGATTAAGAGGATATATATAATAATAAATGGCATAGAAGGACCAGTAGGCTGCAAGAAAAGGTTTGTGGTGAAATTTAAAGGAAAATAGATATAACAAAACCTCAGTCGTGCAACCTATAATTTATGCATGAAATTAACTGACAAAAAAAAGAATGATTAGAAAAATACTAAGATTTTTCAAAAAGGGTTGAGAAAGTATAAATGAGACTCATACAGAACAGGGTAGGCAGAATAAAGGTAGTTTGGAGAATACTGCTGCTATTTTAAAGCTTGATCACTTTGATGATTGTTGGGCATTTTTCTATAGTATGATTATAATGCACAGTGGTTGTGGTTGTTTTTTTAATGCTGGTGCATATTCATCTGACAATTAGCCACTTTCAGAGATACTTCAAACTTGCTGAATTAGACAAACGATTAGCTCACTCTTCAGTTACAATTAATTAGCTTTTGCCCTCTGTGGGAATAGTGTTAGAAAAGTGCAACCCACACAACTTTCCAGACACTTGCCAGGACACTTGCATTGTGGGCTTGACTTTTTGTTTACTAAAGAACAACTGGAAGGATTTGGATCCGAACCATGGTTTGGAGGAAGACTCTGCTTCAGCTGTTGTACTCCCTGTCTAGCTTAGGGTTGCCATATGTCCATAATTTGCCGGACATAGCCGGAATCATGCAGTTGGAAGCAGTGTCTGGGCAGAAATTGCTGAAATGTCTGGGGAAATCCGGATGTATGGCAACTGAAGTTGGAAGTCTCAATTTTCTAGGCGAATCTCCTTTAAAATAGCTCAAAAACTCCTTTTTTGAAGAGAAAAGAAAAAAGCTTAACAACTTTGCCAAAAAAAACCTCAACAACACTTGTGTCTGGATTTTCACTTTTTGAAAGACGGCAACCCTAATCTAGATTCTCACCACACAACTGCTGTTTACTAAACAAAAACCCAGCACACAAGGAGAAAAATACCATCTATTTGGGCCATCACTCCTGAACTGCTAGGAGAATCACCAGACTGCAGAAACAACTACTCCACCTGAAATCTATGGCCTTTTAAACTGTGGGGGTGTTGTTTTTGTTTGTTATAATGCTATATATTTTTGTGGTTTTTGTATTGTTAAACCCCCCTGTGATCTTCAGATGAAGGGTGGTATAGAATTTTAATAAATAAATTAAATGGCATTTGCAAAAATGGTGAGTTCAAAGTTCCACCTCTCTGCCCCCCACCCCATCCATCCCATACATTTAAAGCACACAACTTTTCCCAAATAATTCTGGGAACTGTAGTTTGTTAAGGGTACTGTGGTTTGAAGCACTGTGAGGGGTAAACTACAATTCCCAGGATTCTTTGCAGGAAGCCATGGGCTTTTAATGTATGGTATGTATGAAGGCAGGGACACGGGTGGCGCTGTGGGTAAAACCTCAGTGCCTAGGACTTGCCGATCACATGGTCGGCGGTTTGAATCCCCGCGGGGGGTGCGCTCCCGTTGTTCGGTCCCAGCGCCTGCCAACCTAGCAGTTCGAAAGCACCCCCGGGTGCAAGTAGATAAATAGGGACCGCTTACCAGCGTTCCGTGTGCTGCGCTGGCTCGCCAGATGCAGCTTGTCACGCTGGCCACGTGACCCGGAAGTGTCTGCGGACAGCGCTGGCTCCCGGCCTATAGAGTGAGATGGGCGCACAACCCTAGAGTCTGGCAAGACTGGCCCGTACGGGCAGGGGTACCTTTACCTTTATGTATGAAGGCTGAGTTTCTGCTTTAGGGGCAGTAGGCTAATGAGGGAGGGCTTGGGGGGGATTTTGGCCATGTACCAACCACTCCTCGTTACTTCCAGTACACTCCCACCACTTGCTTGTTTCTATCCTGTTGCTTCGTAAGAAATACTGCATTTTACGTGCTCTCCCCCCACCCAATTGACCTCAATCTGAATTGAGAAAGAGAACAACTTGGCTGTGTTTTAAGCTGGTAATGGGCGTAGCCAGGATTTTTGTAAGAGGGGCAGGACTTGGGGGGGCAGAACTGACGTGATTGGTCAGTTAGTTAAGTATTCCTATTGTTTTACTTATTCGGAGGGGGGGCTGCCCCTCCGCCCCCACCTTGGCTACACATGTGTGCACACAACCTGAGCTATGAAGAGATTCTGGATGAATGGCGGAGAGCAGAGATAAGGGGAGATAAGGGGGAAATGAAACAGGTTGTGAGGAGGGTTGAACATTATGAAGGAGGGAGCAGGGAACCACAGAGTTGGAGGGACCTTGTAGGTCATCTAGACTTCCTTCTTGAAGCAGGAAAGCTAGAGCTGCAGTAACTGGTTACAGATCTCTCACTGAAAACAGATCACTGCACATATTCTTGTTCCTGAGAAGTTAAGATCTTTCCAAAGCTTTCTGTATTCATCTGCTGTCTTTGCCATTGGGCCTCAGGCAACTTTTCATAGAAAAACAGTTTGGTACCTCCTGCCCTTGTTGAAATTACAGAGCAGCCACCGCCCCCAAGTGAAAATATTAGATGAAAAACAGTCCAGTAAGCCATCTTTCTAAAACGTTAAACTTATGCATTGGTGCCATTATAGACAGGATGATGTAAGTAAAGGCCAGAATTTAATTTGCTCGGTATAAGAAAATGATAGGTTCCAAATTATCCCAATAAATAATACACCCTTTTTGCTCACCGTGAAGTATTCCTCTCTAACTTAGACGTCATAGAGGCAATGAATTCCATTGTCATAAAGGAACACCATCTTGTACCCTGTATATCAGATCACTGAGTCCCACTCTGTTATCTACCTATCAAACAAAGTACGACAATGACACAATTCTTGTAAATCTGAAACATATGAGTATTCCACAGTCAGAGAAACAGAGAGATCAAGCCTGCTAAAGTGAGTAGGAATTTCAGGAGGCCTATATGCATATGGGGTTTCAGAGGACAGAGCACTTTCAGTGCTTCCTAATAGTTAAGCTTGCAATCCAAACTTCAGCTGGTGAACTGTGGGGTTTGATGGGGCAGTGAGGCCGCTGTCACCACATTCATGGCTGTGGTGGAAAGTGAGGGAGCAGGGAAATTGGCACAACAACTAGGGGTATTCATGGGCTGCTGCCATCGGAGATTCCACTGGTGGCACTTTTGTGGGTAGAGCAGGGAGCTCCATACTGGTAGAGTGATGCTGGTGTCACTTCAACAGGCGAGGTAGCAGAGACCTGCCAGTGCTGGGTGGAACGACACCTAGGTCCACCCAAATGACCTATTCCACCACCAGTGTACAGGTGGGCTGGAATTGTAGTGTATAAGAGGGGCATTAAACAAGAACATTAAATACAATGACCCAACATTGTTTGTGAAAATCATAATTCCCATCTAATTTTTGTTTGCTTGTTGAATGGATCTAAGTGCATCCTACAACAAAGCAAGAGATTAATTGCAAGTCGCCGACTCATGAGCCTGAAGGGGTCGAGCCCCTCACAAAATTTCTTGGGGGACAGCCCCCCAATAATCTCGGGCACCTTCCAGCAAAGCACCACCGGTCCCCGCACTCCCACCTGCTAATTGATCAGTGCCAGCGCGTGCGGAGAAGCCCGGCAGTCCCGCGAGATTAGGGATCCCGGGGGCGGGGCTCCTGACCTCCTGCTCGGACACCACACGCACTGCCTGCGGGGAATTTCTTCCTGCCCCACGCTGAGACAGAATCGATGGCCACACCTCCCAGCCAGCGATTGCTGGCAGGGGCGTGGTTGCCCTATTTGGCGGAGCCATTTTTGCATATTCAGAGCTATTCTTATCTACTTTCCGGCCCCCCAAATTTTTATAATCGGTCCTTCTATTGTCATGCAGTGAAAGCGCATCTAAGCTGGCAGTATTCATCCTCTGTTACCCGGCAGCCAGTATTAAGTCTATAAATGTAGATGCCATTGCCCAGTTTGACCTAGAAAATGGAATGTCTTCATTTTGTTTTCTATCCCAGTTTTGGGTCCAGCAGGATCCTAACAGCAGCTTATATAGATTAAAGAAAAAATGCACTACAAGAACACTGTAACAGCTTCTACTGCCTCTAGCACACATGCCAATTGATGCAGGAGTGTTTCTAGGTACTTAAAGGACTCAGGGCACAGGGCTATGATGCACATTTGCACATCCTGATTTTGAGGGATACACACCTCAAGGAAAAATAAATGTCCGGGTCTCATCAGCACTGTGCTTTGCAATGTACCCAGAACCCTGTAGGCAAAGTAATAAAGTGGGGAGGGGCCTGCTGCAAAAGTCCAGGGACCCAAGTCCTTGATTCGATGATAGCAGTGCCCACTTTCCCCCCAAGACTGCAGGACTTTTTATGGCCCAAGAGCAGGGCAGGAGGAGCAAGATACAGCACTTGGGCCTCCTAGGAACTGCTGAGTGTCAGCAGTTGGATCTTCTGTTGCCTAGCTAGGCACCCTTCACTCTCTTTCCTCTTTAATACAGTTATAGCCAGGGTCCCAAAGTCTCTTAGTGAATATTAAGTAATAAATGGTAGGTAAAAGTAAAGGGGACCCCTGACCGTTAAGTCCAGTCGCGGACAACTCTGGGGTTGCGGTGCTCATCTCGCTTTACTGGCCGAGGGAGCCGGCATTTGTCCGTAGACAGCTTCCAGGTCATTTGGCCAGCATGGCTAAGCCACTTCTGGCGAACCAGAGGAGTGTACAGAAACACCATTTACCTTCTCGCCAGAGTGGTACCTATTTATCTACTTGCACTTTGACGTACTTTCGAATTGCTAGGTTGGCAGGAGCAGGGACCAAACAACGGGAGCTCACCCTGTTGCGGGGATTCGAACCACCGACCTTCTGATCAGGAAGCCCTAGGCTCTGTGGTTAAGACCACAGTGCCACCCACATCCCTTCAATAAACGGTAGTATTTACATAACATTTAGGATATTGCAGGGGGAAAGACAGGCTGCAGCAGTTCCCCTGAACTGTGCCAAACATGGAAATTCCTGGTTTTAGCTAAGCTTATTTAACTAGTTTCTAACAATACATTGCATCCCACACCCACCCTGCCCCTCTCCCTTCACTTAAAAGCTATGCAACAGCTTCATGCAGCACTTCTATGCTGCATTTAGAAAAGGTAGCTGTTCCATAGGCAGTACATAGGCGCAGCAATTGCTGGCCTACACCCTAAATCTTGAACTGCTGACAGAGCAGTTGATAGGGTTAGTTCAATAGAGTCTACTTCCCATAACATGCTTTCTGTGACAACCGAAAAATAATGGCACGGTGTTAGTAAATAGGGAACAAACGCTGTCATTTAACTACCTAGAGTGAATGAATTGCAGCAAGTTAAACATAGCAATGTAAGAGTTGCCATAGTGAATCAGACTTGTGATCCATCTTAAGAAATGTCCTGGCTAACAAGAGGCATTCATTTTTCATTTTAAAAAATGAATGAAAACTCTTGAGCAGGTTGATATAGATAATCTTTCTAGAGTGTTAGATCTCATTCCAAGCTATAATATTAAGAATTGGCTTAATCCCTGCCCATATGAATTTCTGCTTTGTTTTTAAAAATTCAGCACTAGGTAGCATTCTGTGTTTTTGTGTGTGTGTGATCTGAATAAACCATACAGTTATGATGTTAAAAGGGACATGCGACCAACCTCTGGCCACACACCAACTGCCCCACAGAGCTTATGATAATAATATTCTGTAGCTGGTAATAGTATTTGGTGGAATACCCTCCCAAGAGAGGTCAGATCAGCTCCCTCTTATCCACTGACAGGCTAAGACCTTCCTATTCAGAGAGGCCTTTGAAAACTAAGGTATGGTGCTGATCACTGGGCTGCTGTCAGGGCAAACTGTATTTTAATTGCTGGTTATAAATGTGTTCTGATATATTTTAATTATTGTTTTTAACTGGTTTGTTTTTATAACTTTGTATTTTATAAAGTTGTTTTTAACTGTAAGCAACCTTCAATCCCAACTTAGAAGAAAGGTGGTATATAAATACGTTGTTTTGATGATGATGGTGATGATGATGCAAACCCTACCATAATAATAATAATTTAATTAAGTAAATTAAAATCCAATCTACTTAGCCAGGGTTATGTTTTTTTCCACCTAGACCACAGGAAAGGCTTCTCCAGTCCAGTGGTGACCAAAATATTTTTGACAACTCCCATCATCTATGACAACTGCTGGCTGTAGCTGATGGGAGTTGTGGTCCAAAATATATGAAGGCCACAAATTGGGGGAGGATGTCCATTTGCGACCAAAAGGTCTAGTTTGAAGTCACCGAATGGTCACCGAATGGTTTTACCCAGCAGAAAGCAAGGCTTTTTTTTACTTCTACCCCTGCAAAAACCTACAGTGCCTGGAATAAGAAGCCCCTGGACCAATTTATAACAATTTGACAGGTTTATTTCCTTTGGGCACTTTTCTCATGTCTATAATTTTTAGACCAATTCCCCAGAAAATATTAAGAAGAGTAAGTGATTCCTTTTGCAACCCACCAAAACTGTAAGAGCTACTATTGAGTAAAAACCCACAGCAATTATCCTTCTGAAATCTGGCAGGATTCATGCCCTCAGAATAAATTATTTTGCCTGCAAATTTCATATAATTCCACACACAATTTTAAGTTATAGACAATTCCTTTAAAAAAAAAAAATCAAACTTTAAACTGAAGGGCTAGTATGCCTGCAAATTTCATCCACTTCAGTCAAAGGGGGGGGGGGTTACACAGCTGTTCACCATCATCACCATAATGAATGGGAGAAAATGAAGCAGACTTCGACAGACTCCAGCCTAAACAAGCAGCCTACAAAGCACCTTGGATCAAGGTGGGCTGTTTCCCAAGCACTGGATCAGGGTCTCAACTGAATCTTATGGCCAGTGCACTATATAGATTATGAACACTGAGGAATCCTGCAGCTCATATTGAAACAGGGACATCTTCACAGATTTCTTGCTTTATTTGTTTTTAAAGGAATAGGGAAACATGCAGAAAGCATTTTTGTTTTCCTTTATATGTTATGGGCTTAGGTTAGACGTGGCCAATTGTACTCAACAACTTCCTGTGAAACTTTCTCAGGTCGGAGGTTATGCTTTAATAGTTTTGAAGTAGTCTGTTACATATGCCACCGCCACCAAGTTTTCTGTCATATTTAATCTGACAGTTCAGGTGGTTTTTTCCTCTCCATCATGATTCACTACACTGAATACTTGTTTCATTCATATGTTCATTTCCAATAAACACATAATGATTTTTGCTTGGAGGTGTTTGGCAAAGCCACAGGAGGTTTAGCTTTGCTGATCTAGGAAAGGCTGCAAGAGTTAATTCAATTCAGTGAATCTCAATGTAAAGGTTCTCAGTCTGTGAATGAAACTCATTCCAAATAAGAAGTTGGTGTGGCATATGCAGCTTTTTGTTTGAAAACATTTGCTATAAGCAAGGGGATGTGAGGAGCCCAGCTATTCAGTGTCTTTGAGGGTAGGAGCTAAATTCATAGTTTCATAGTTCTGCATTTGGAGAGGAATTTAGACTATTCCTCACATTTGTGTCTCACACTTCATACAAAGACTTCAAGGATTTACATTTTATCCTCACATTAGCTGCATGAGGTACGTATCAGGGATGGGTCATAGAGTTTAATGTATGTTTTTTGGGGGGGTTAGCCCTTATTTGACTGTTGATGTATTTTATGTGATTTCTTTTTTCATTTTTATATCTTATGTAAACTAGAGATTTCTTTTTGTACGAAGTGGTATACACATTTTATAAATCAAGAGCCAAACACAAAAAGGGCTGAAAGTATAAGATCCTAGCACCAACTGGAATCAGAATTGGATGGAGCACCTGCGTTATGGCGTAATGTAGGAAACCGGCCTAAAGCAATGCAGGAGAGTCATTCTAGGGGCAGAGTTGATCTCATAGCCGGAGCCAAGTAGTCCATCAAAAATGTTGGCTGGGACAGGTATATATAGTGGAGGACCAAGTAGGTAAATGGACAATGAAGCTGAGAAGTTGAAAACAAAGCTGCCAAGGAGCTGAACCCTGAGGTCTGACTTGTAGGCTTGGTCAAGGAGGAACTAACATGTTGTTAAGAGATGGTGAATCACTCCTGGAACCTGAGAGGACAATAGTGGCCCTTCTTTTCCACTATATAGCTTTAAGTGACTCATCACAAGCAGCACCAGTACACAAACCAAGAGGCTCCAGTTACAAATCCAAGAAGATTTAACAGGAGGTTAGACGGAGTGAAAGTGAGATTCATGCCTGAATGGGGATTTGAACCCAGGTCTTCCGTGTCCAACACTCTATATCCATGATATGCAAATTTTAAAGGAGATTATGAAGTTCACAGGTTCAAATTCCCTCAAACAATTTTGTCAAGAATACTTTAGTTAGAGTTAGAAGTACAGCCTTAAGGAAAGAAGTTTGCCTAGAATGCCTTTATGAAACTAGAATTGTAAATAATATTTAAATTCTGCAATACAGATCAGATTCCAACTGTTGCATTTCATACCACAGAGCCACCAGGAATAAGAAGAATTTATTATTTCTATGTTGCATTTAAAAAATGCCTTGAGTTCTACAATGAAGGCTTCATCAGAGCATTGAAAACTAAATCAAAATTCCAGCAAGGAAGGAAGGATTTAAGTTTAGGCTTAAGCTTTGAAGTTGTTCCCAAGAAACAAATTATTATTGGATGGGAACCAACAAAGCAATTATCTAGTTTGCTGCTCATGCTACTGAGGGCTGCTGCCTGCACCCAGAGGGATCTGACACAAAGGCCCTTACCTAACCAGGCTTGTATAAAGGAACAAAATATTACTTACCATTATTCTAAACACTTCAGTTTCCTGGCTATATGCCACCAGTGCAGGGAAAGGGGAATCTCTGTGACTGTGATGCTGACTGCTGCTGAGATTATATACCAAAAACACTTTATCAAAATGATTGGGTTGCTATGGAAGTAGGCAAACTTATCTGATAATTTCATATTAAAGTTTTGCTTTTGAATGATGCAAGATCAATTTATTCAGAAAGCCAAGAGCTAATCACTGCAGAAGGCTCACAACTCCTGTTTTGACAGTGAAATCAGAATTTCTGAGGTATATTTTTAAGGTTACCATATGTCTCTGCTTTCCCAAGATGCTTCCAATTTTCATATTGTCCCCCATTCTTCTGAAACCTCTAAAATGTCTCTTTCTCATCTAATTATTTAAAACATTTGAGGTTTTAAATTTCTTTGGCTTTTTCTTCTTCAGCTGGTTCAAGGCCCTTTTACATTAACAAAAGCTACTAAGGAAGAACCTGAAAACAAGGGGACATGAGGCCCTGCTCAAGAGAGTCCACCTGAGGGGACCCACGGGTGTCAAAGGCACATTTATATTTACACTTCTCAGTGGTCATGCCCTCTTCAAGTAGCTCAGCACCTCATTTGCTTCTTTCTTCTCTTCTGTAAGCCACTTCCAGAGATTTCGACAGACATTCCCCAGAAGCAGGTGTAAATTTGAGTCTACCTCTTTTTTTATTTTCTCAGGAGCCGAACAGGAGTAACAATGATTCCTCTTGTACCATCCTATGTGGTGTATTTATTTCTTCAGCACCAACTGACACCCTCAACTGCCCTCCTGTGCTTCCTACTCAAAGTGAATTCTTTGGTTGCCCCTGGCAACTCCCACAGCACAGACCTGGCTAGTAGTAGAATTTTAAATCTTAAGGGTGAATTTGGTTAACTAAATCAAAGAAATACCTTTGCTCCTCCTCAGAACTCTGAGAAGTGGCATCCCTCAGGCTGTGAGGTTGGCAGCTGAAGAAGCATTGGGGAGACAGGGGGACTTATTTATACAACAGCACCTCCAATGGTTGACTCAGATAAGATCATATAGTTAGGTAGTTCAACTCTCAGCTGCTAAATCATCCCCAGCTTTTATATTCAGTTCTCTGGCTGTGTTGAGATTACATGGCTGCTGGTAGCTCAAAAGCCATTACCTTTTATATATAAAAGAACAAACAACTTGGCCTAATGAAACGGAGAGGTATATAGAGGTATATAGTTTAAAGTACCTGTGGAAGGGATCTGACACTGACTTCTTGTGGGGAGGGGTGCTAAGAGCAGCTTCATGCAGACAATATTCATTGGCCCTGAGGATGTGTTTGCACCTAAATTTTCAAAACAGTAGCCATTTACTTCCACATTCATCCTTCTTTACAGTATGAAGAAGCCCAGGAGAAAATGGACATAGTTAAATTGTGAATAGCAGGTCCTGTTTTGGGGGTGGGTTTACAAAACTTGAGAATGAAAGCTTTGAGTATAACACAGATGTTGCATACAGCTAGCATGCCCTGACTTGGCCATCCTAGGTTCACTGCAGAATGTTTCCCAAGGATAGGACAGAATCCCATCAAGAGCCAGAGGCCTTGTTTGCTCTAGGAACCAAGAGCCCTAGTGACAAGCACAATGCCATGTCATTTATCTGCCACCATGCATTGGAGAAAGCACTTGCCCTCTTCAGTGAACTGACAATGAGGCAGCAACAGGTATTTCAAGAAAACAGCATGAACACTTATGTTATCTCTTTACAGGAGTTGGTAAAATATTTTTAATTCATTTACTGAGCTGAACTCACGATGGTTATTTGCAAGGCTGTAGCCAGTGAATGGATGCCCTGATACAAATGAGGCACTGCTACACCCTACCCAGTCATGTTCCCCTCCCCTCCCCTCCCCACCCCTGGGCTTTTAATGTATAATCTGATAGCTTCAATTTAAATAATGAAATCTTGTTTTTAAGATATGAAAAAGTGTGTGTGTTGTTTTTTAAGTGAACACCCAGCTGCCCACCCAAAAAGATGCAATCTCCAAATTTTGCTTACCTGACCCATCCAGCTTTCTCTTCCCAGACTGAAATTTAAATATTCTGTTTTCTTCTTATTTGCATTCACAAAGCTGTACAGACACAAAGTCTAGTGTTCAGTCATTGGCAATGCCACTGTCACTATTCAACAGATACCCATGAAACTAACTTCCATTTTGCATTTCCTATTATACTTGACATGCTGGCAAAAAGAGAAAATAATATTTTTCCAGTAGCAAATTATTCCACATTGAGTACTGGGAAAATGTGATATACTAACAAAGGAGTGATACTTGTCTGGATTATCCTTGACAAATTAATAACTGTTACACAATAAATGTGTGGCAGAAACACAATCTGAAGAGGCCCGTAATTATAGCATCACAGAATTCTATGTGGCTGCACATTGACTTCAGATAAATATGAGTTTTCAGATAAAGGGGGGGATCATCTTCTGTAAATAAGATCCTTCTCCTAAGTAATTAACTAAAACCATAACCAATTCCTGCAGTCCTTCTCCCTATGGCAACCTTCCAGCGCTGACTTGAGCTGGTAGGAGTTGTTGTGGAATATATATGGAAGGCAGCAGGTTACAGAAAGCTGTTCAGTGGAATATTCTAACTACGTTGGACAGTTCCAGCTCCAATGAAACATTAAATATATTTCTTGCTTTCATCTGGCTGGAGGGATGTTGCATTCTCTTTGCTCCAAGAACCATTTCCTCTCTAGATAGCATGGATAATTATACCTGCTTCCACCCACAGTTTAACTAAAGTGGCATTTCTTAAACAGTTTATATAGAACAAAATTATTCAAAGGTACTTGGCATTCAGTAGTTCTCATTTTTCTTCAATGCTAAGAATCTTGCAAAAGGCTATGGGGGGCAATTATTTTCAAAAGGCTATTTTGTGAACCTGGAAAACATAAGAGGGAGGATTTTTCTTCAGGCAACCTGATTCCCAATCAGTTGTTTGTCTGCAAGTAATGGAAATTTCACATTAAAATGTGGGTGATATCAGAGATGGCTCAAGACATTTGAGTGCCTGAGGCGGAAAAACTAAATTCCCCACCCCCATGGTGGTAATGGTAGTAAAACAATAAACTAATTGACAATTTGTTGTCCTTAAATAGTACCCCAAAAGTTGCTGCCTGAGGCGGTTCTCCAAGTGGAGCTATGATAAAAACCAGAACAGGCCAAATCACATAAGGATTGTTGAAACAAAATGTGGCTCTAAACATCATAGCCAGTTATTAAACTGGCAATTGTCTAATTTAGAAAATAAGAAATGAGTTTCACTTTGATTTCTGCCAGCTAAAATCTAGATGGATGGGAAGTGGCTTGTTTCTATTTCATTTTACCAGTCATTTTGCTAGAAAACCTGATCTCTAAGGTTGGGAAATACTTGTTCTGCACTGGAAATGAAAGTGCCAGAATCCTACCGAACCCAAGACCCAGAAAGACATTTTAAATGGTATCCCAGAGCTATGGGAACAGCAATATACCTCTCTCTTGACATTTAAAAAGCAATATAAAGCTCATGCACATATCCAGCCTCCTAACTCCCCCCACAATAAAATTAAGAGACTTAATTGAGCAGAGGGAAATCTTGTTTTAGAAATGGTGAAAGAATTTCACAACTAGTTTCTCATTTATTTGTTGTTGCTTTTTTAAAAAAAACTTTAACAATATTAAGTAGGAAACAAGTCTGTGTTGGGGATGAAAAATGTGTCATACAGATCTATTCCTAATTAACATCTGGTGTAAGTTTACATGGAGACAGAATGGAAGAATAGGGTTGTGTGAACACTGCCATTTTGTCTGAGTACAGTACTTGAGTGTTCCTGCTTCAGGTCCTGCATTAGAAGAGAGCATTCAAGAGTTTAGTCACTTTGTATTCCTGAAGTTCCAACTTTTTTTACATGTCCAAAATCAGTCTTGATATACGTACTTCCCATGGCACAGACCTTCTATCTGCCTTTCCTCCCCTCAGATAGTACCGTTGGAGGGACATGGAGTCTGATTTCTCTGCATCTTCACTCAAGACAGTCTTCCACATGGACACATCACATGCTTGTTTCTGCCCATGCCCTAGATGGAGGGGGGATATGCACCACATTATGTTGCTCAGTCCCTGCTCCTGCCAACCTAGCAGTTCAAAAGCACAAAGTGCAAGTAGATAAATAGGTACCGCTCCAGCGGGAAGGTAAACAGCATTTCCATGTGCTGATCTGGTTCACCAGAAGCGGCTTAGTCATGCTGGCCACATGACCCGGAAGCTGTACATCAGCTCCCTCAGCCAATAAAGCGAGATGAGTGCCGCAACCCCAGAGTCGTCCGCGACAGGACCTAATGGTCAGGGGTCCCTTTACCTTTACCTTTACCTTTATGTGTGAACAGGAGAACAAGTGGCTTGTAAAACAGTGATTGAATTGCTCCCCAAACCTCAGGCTTTTATATACATTATTTACGCAATGAGTCCCGTCTGATTGGCTGGTTCTCCTTCCCTCCTGGAGCCTGACTGGTCTTTTCCTGCAAGCCAATCAGTTGTTGCATTCTAGAATCCTACTTGCCTATTGTTCTAGGATCCAAGCTTAGTACATAACAAAGTGTCAGTGTCCTTTTGGTCAGGGAAGCTGCCTATGTGACTTTTCTGAACATAAAACACAGCAAAGAACAAAAGAAAGCCAGTTCACACTCCAGTTTATACATTACAAAGTAAACACTTTTTTCTTACATGGAGATTAATCTCTGTGATGGAAAAGCTAGCATGAAGCAAATCATCAGAGCCCCCTGGCTAAAGTATAAAGACAGGAGCAGCGTGGCTATTGCCTGGGCTGAATCTGTTACGGGACTAAATAAAGGACTTCATCCTCTAGGGTCTGCCAGCCTTTCACCAGCACTAAATTCACTCTTTTAATAAAAAGATAATGTTATCTCATGGGAAACAGACTCCCTCCTGCCTCTTCCTTTGCTCTTAAGGAGCCAGCTAGCTCCCAGTCTCCCTCTGCAAGACAGTTACATCGTAATGAGGCGGGCTGGTTTCTCAAGGATAATGAATGCAAAAACAAGCAGTGATGGAAATGCCAAGCCAGGGTCCATCACTCATTCCTGAGCTCTGGAATCCATTAGGAAGTGCACCAGGGAAATGGAGACCCAAGCAGCATGTGAATAGGGCCAGGGTTGCAGGCTGGGAATGATTAGGAATGCAGGACAATCAAAGTTAACGTTTATTTCACTCTCAAAAAGCACACCCTTTGTCTCCCAGTAAGGAGAATCAAAATGCCCCCCTTCTCCCCAGAGCCTTTGTGCTTCTGATCTGTGGCATTAATAGAGTTCAAGCACGGGTACAGTCAGTTCATTACCAAGGTTGATTCATGCATTTTGGAGACATTTTGTGTCTAATATTTTTTCCTCCCCAAAGAGCTTTATGTTTGGCAGCTCTTACTTTTTTTCACACATTTCACCTCCTTCCTTTCTAACAGAGGAAAAGGGGAGGGGGAGAAGAACCATCTATGCAATTTTCTTCAGTCATTCTTTAATGCAAATAACTCAATTCATACTTAGACATGGTTATTACACAGCCCCATTCACCCGGGCAGAATTGGCTTCCCAAAGCTACTTTCGCCGTTTTGCTTCTATAAATGATTGTTCATTTCCCTTTTAAATGATTTGTATGCTGTTGCTCTATTCCTCTACTTGTTCATTTAGGAAACAAATGTCTCTACACCAGAGAGGGTATCTTGTGGGTTCAAATCTCTGCAAAGGTTAATTCAAAGAGCTTCATCCCTTGCATCAGTGAAAGCATCTATGAAAGCAGGAAGCCCTCATCCCATTTAATCAAAGGACTAGAAATGGGCAAATTGTTCTTGAGTACACACTCCTGATTCAAGGCAGCTCTCTCCACAGATTAACCTACACAATAATGTTGGTGCAGTGCTGGGGTGTTAAATTTAGATGAGGGAAGCCCAGGTTCAAATTTCTGGGAAGGCATGATGCCCACTGGATGCCTGACCTGAGCTAAGAAGCAGAAAGAGATACATAAATATTCTTTTGCATAAAGCCAATTCCTGGGTTGCACCCCATGATTGCATGACCAAGAAATAGAACTGAGGCAAAGTTATGAAGATCAAGAGATAGGTGGGCATCAGGGTAGCGAAGGGGCTGAAAACAAGGCCTATGTGGAAATAGTGAAAGACCTGCCTATGTTTAGCCTGAAGAAGGTAAAATTTAGAGAAGACACAATAGCCATCTTCAAATATCTGAATTGCTCTCATGCAAAAGATGAAGCATCAGGCTTGCTCTCAGTTGCTCCATAGAGCAGGATGAGTCCCAATGGAGAGTGGTAGGGAAGCAGATTTCATCTAAGCATGAGGAGAAACTTTCTAATGGTAAGAGCTATTTGGTGGAGGAGCAGGCTGCCCTAGGAGATGATGGGTTTTCCTTGGCTTGAGGTACTTGAAGCAGAGGCTCAGTTGCCACCTGTCAGGAGTGTTGTAGTTGCATTTTGCATTGAAGATCCTGCACTGAGCAGGTGGCTGGACTACACGTCCTTCAAGGTCCCTTCCAACTCTATGATTCTTTGTGTATAGGTGTTGACTTGGTCTTCAAAGGTTCCCACTGAGCTCCAGGAGACAAGTGCAGCCAAGAGGGATGAAATCCGCTTTCTAGCCCCAACCTTTCCCACCACCACCAGATTTGGGGATCACCACAGGCAGTGGGCTGTTTCCCTCCACATAATAAAGGTTCCTTTGAGGCTGCTATACTTTCCTATGGGAACAGATTGGAAACATCTGCATTGGAAACAAAATTATCCCCTCACCCTTGTCACATGGTGCAGACTTCAGTGATAGGGATTTCATAGGTGTTGAGGTACAATATACACATTGTTGAGCATTGACTCATTGCACCTTTGTGTTCCTGAAATATACAGGCCCTCCGTGAACACCCACCCACTCACACCTATCATGACAGACATTTTGCTAGCAGTAAATCCAGATTACTGTGCCACAGGCAAAGAAGAATGAACCTGGAATCTACAGGGCAGATGGCTTCAGGTGATTTAAATAAGTAAGCCAAGCTGTATCCTTCTGTGGAAGAAAAATATTGCCATGCTTAGGAGCAGCAATTACACAATCAACACAGAGCTAATTCCTCTCATGTCATATCAGTGGTGTAGCTAATACTTCCTTCGCACCTATTGCCAGCACAGTAAGACAAACAGCACACGCAGTATTCAAACACATAATCAGATAGCACAGATGGCGTAAACGATCCTCCTCAGTCATGGTATATAGAATTTGGTAGAAACATTTCCCCAAACCACAGTTATTTAAAAGCTCAAGCTATCCAAATATACTTTGTGTCCCTTGTGAAGCCTCATATAAATGAAAACTCATATAAAATGTACTCTTGGTTTAATTCTCTCAAGGCCATTCAAATAAATGAAAATATATGCCTCTTTAAAAATCCACATATGGATGCATATTCGTTAGAATCATGTTTCAAAGGTTATTTGGTTTTTTAAAATAAAAAAACTGTTGGGCTTGAAGAATCATGGATTAAATTCCAGCTCATCTTAAAATAAAATAAACTTGAAATCAGCAATGCCAGCTTGCTGGGTAGCCTAGGGCATCATGACCTCTCTACCTAATTTGTCTCAAGATTACCACGGATGCACCATGATGCAACCAAATCAAATTCAGCAGGGACTTCTGTGTGTGAACTTCTGTGTGTGATTCATTGTGATTACAGATCAGATTTATTCCTTAAAATGGCCTTTCACATTTGTGTATGTATGTACAGTATGTATGTATGTATGTATGTATGTATGTATGTATCTGTTTTCAGTGATGCAGCTGGGGCTAGGGTTGAGGTCCAGGGCTTCACAGCATGTTTTAGAGTTGGCATGAAGGGAGAGCAGGGCTTTCATGTTTTTAACAGCTGCGTGACAGGCAGAAAATCAAAGGCTAAGCCTCTTCTAGTACTGTATATGGAAATACTATTACTGGTATGGGGAAAGCTTCACCTGTTGACATTCTGTCTTTCAGATATCTTGTTAATTGTGTGTGGCCCTTGATTTATTGTAGAGCCCTTCGTTATTACCTGTGAAAGAGGTTTACTTATGACAAAAAGTTTATGTGGATGTGTGTCTTCTGTGAGTGGGTTGTGTTTTAATTGTTGTAACCCACTCTAGTGCCTTAGGGTGAAGGCCAGGTGGTTGTTGTTGTTAATTCAGATATAGAAAACCTTTGGTGTGCCAGATGTTTCTGAACTACAAGTCGCATCAGCTCCTGCAAGCATGGCCAACAGCCAAGGATGATGGCAGTTATACTTCAGCAAAATCTGGAGGGGCAAAGGTTCTCCACACCTGCACTAAGCCATTATTATTATTATTATTAATGTGCACAAGGGTCAGCCTGCAGTATGAAAAGAAAGGTTCCCCAAGAGCCAGGCATGTGTGCTCGAGATTTGGCCTATTCACATGTCGGATATCTATCCACTGGTCACAATTAAAAGCAAAAAAAGCTGGTATCCACTAAAGCGGGATGTAGAAATCAGCAGAAGCAACTTAGGTTTTGTTTGCAAGTAACACCAAGCTATGGTTTATTAAATGGAGCCACAGTAAAACAGGAACCAGCCTGTTCCGGTAATGCAGGTATCAGACCTGACTTGGCTAAGGAGCTGTGCTCTCAGCCATCTACTTTCGTACTCCAGCCCAACTGATACAGAGAGCTGCGATTGCAGAGACAGCAGCACATGCTGACATAGCTAGTGTAGCATCCTGTACAAGGCAAATGGGACAAATCCATCATGCTGCAGTAGCTACACTCCCATTATAACAACTTATTATACTACAGGGATGGCCAGCCTTTCAAGACAGGAGCCTCTGTACCTTCACCGTTGTGTAGGAGAGAGAATCTCAGCAGGTGCAGCTTTGTCATTTCACAGCACAACAGAAGTCTGAAAAGGTACACCTGCTACGATTCTCTCCACCTGACATCTGAAAGGTACAGGAGTTTTTATGTTGCAAAGGCTGTACAACCTGCTATGCTACTGTAGATACATGCGGTTACACTGACAAGGCTGCC